GGGGGAGGAAGAGGGGGAAGGAGAGAGACAGGAGAAATGAGAAAAAAATCTAACTGCATCTGGTGTGTTTATGATCCTCACGTTGGGCTGCCCTGGGAACTCAAAGGTGATAATTAAATCACCTAAGTTTTCTGTTATTTTCTGTAAAATATCTCAGCTTTTCATCTAAAGTTTGTTGCAGCAAATTTGGCATTTTCTCAAATGAGTCCTTTATTTCCTGAGGACATCTAAGGAAGGCGGTGTGTCGCCTACACACCCGGTTCACCACCCCCATCCAGCCGAGCACTGAGAGGGCTGGACGCGTCCCACTGGCGGCCACGGCACATCTTTATCTCTGCAAGTGAGGTAGAGAAGCGAGGTTGGAGGGGGAAGCGTGGCAGGAACTGTGGGTCTGGGGTATAACATGAATCCTGAGAAAATACACCTGTGTGACTTTTTCAGTAGCAGACTTTCATTTCCCCTCTAAAATCCTTTTAGCATACTGTCACCGAAAACCTACCGTATTATTTGTCCTGGATTGAGAATTGTCATGATATTGCTCGCCGTGAGTCAGACAAAATAAATACGGCCGCATCAGCAACACCCTCCCTTCTCACACATAGATTTTCGCTCATGTATCAACTCAGGGTACAGGAGGGGGTAAAAATAGCAAGCAACAGAGACTGAACAGGAATTGTAGCGCTAGAGGCACGGCTCTGAAGAATCTTGCTCATCGTTTTGAGCACACTGAATGGTCTCAAATGATCTATAGATGATGGAAGTATTCAGTGATTTTTTTTTTTTTTTTGATAAGAGGCAAGAATATGATTTTCTACTCTGCAGCGTGCGGAAGGCCGGGAACCGGGAGGAGAGTGTACGGGGGCAGTGGAGGGACCACCCGAAGGTGATGGGCATCCCCAAAAGATGCCGGTACATGACATCGGAGCATCAGCGGGCAAACAGGGATTATGTGTTATAATGTTTAAGTGGTTCAAAGGTGATAACTGACATAACCGTGCAATGCATGTGAATAGGAGAGACTGGATTGGGGATCTAAACCAAGATGCAGGTCCAGCTTTGCAGCAAACTTGCTGTGAGGCCCTTGGCAAAGCGCTGAGCAGGTAATCTTCCCCTCTCAGTACCGCACGTGTGTGCGACCCAAGTTCTAGGTTCTGTTGTAATCATTAATTTAATTTGTATCTGTCCTCAAAGTGTGCGAGCTTCCCCAGGGCTCGGGGTCATCTCTGCACATCCCATGGTGTCTGCTCCATTGCCTATGCGTGTAGAAAGTATGCATACATGAAGAAATTGGGCTGGGAGAGTGGAGGATGGGGAATGACACTTCTCGAGCACCGAATGAATGCAGGGGACTTTTCATTAGTCGCTTCGCACACTCCTCCAAGACGCAGGGGGCACGGACGATAATCTCCTTTTGATGGTGAGAAGTTGACGGTCACAGAAATAAAGTCACTTGCCCAAGTTCACACAGATGATGTTGAATTGTGTCTCCCCAGAAGAAGCGTGACCTGACTTGGGAACAGGGTCTTCGAAGATGTAATGCAGTTAAGAGGAGGTCTGCAGGGTGGGCCTTAATCCCACAGGACTGGTGTCCTTATAAGAAGAGAAAATGTCACGTAAACACAGAGACACAGGGAGGATGCCACGTGATGATGGAGGTGGGGTGACGCAGCTGTAAGGACTGCGGGGCCACCACCTGAAGCCCAGAGAGGCAAGGAAGGAGTCCACCCAGAGTCTCAGGGGGTCAGGGCCCGGGCGATGCCCTGATTTTGGACTTGTGGCCTCCAGAACTGTGAGAAGTACATCTGCGTTGTTCACAGCACCCCGGTTTGTGGTGTTTTGTGAGGGAAGCCCTAGGGACCTGACACAGATGGTGGAAGGGTCTGGGATTGAACCTGGGGCAGCCTGACTCCACCAGTGGTGGCAATGTCTCCACCACCATCGCTCCGGCTGAGGCGGGAAGGAAGCAGCTCCGGCCCCAGAGAGTTCCAGAGTGAAAGAGACGAGCTTGAGCATGAAAGTCCCAAACGCACAGTAACCATCAGCATACGGGACATGCAGAGATAAGAGCTCTTGGTTCTCTGACCTTTGGGTGACTGAGCTTTTCTTTAGCAGTAAACTAAACTCATAATGACATACAGACTCATTCAAACACTCAGGAAAATCAGCGCGTTTCCATCACTTACCCAGAGTCACACAATGCAATGAAATCACTCAAATTATCTTCTCATTCTTTTATAATTGTCTCATTCTGGAACTTTGCTAATTATCACCAAGAAGTGAATTGACATAATTCAAGTATCTGAATACAGTATTAACAAGTCAGAACAAAAAACCTTAACACTTGGTGCCTTTTTTTCTCATTTTATATTGTTCTTTTGACACCTAAAATGGTATAATTCTGACATTTCAACCGAAAAGACAAAAACGTCATCTTAGACAGGGTGAGGTACTCTATTTTAGTGTAATTAAAAACATCTTGTCTTTTGGAATGTGAGTGTCATCTCTGGGTGGTGTCACGGGCCCATCACTGCACTGAAGCATGATCTCATAGAAACTTCAATTTCAGACCAAATGGAAATAACCAGCCCGAGCCTGGAGCTGCACATGGTCCTGAGAGTGCTGGTGTGACTGGAGAAGGCACTTCTTCGCTCTCGTTCCCCACACCCTCCTGGCCTCTGTTGCCCAAGAGGTGGTCACCTCCATCCACTGAAGATTCCCTATCCTCAGGCTGACACCTGCCCTGCATCCCAGATAAACCAGCCGACTCTGAGAAGTCAGTGTTACCTCTCCCGGCTGACTCGCTCTTGTCTCATCCTGGTTTGGCGTGAGGGGCGTGACTGGCACCTAGTTCCACGTCCAGAATCTGGGTCGTGTGGCTCATTCACTCGGGCTCATTCAATCAATCAACCAATATTGACTGAGCACAAAATAGATACTGGGAATGCAGCAGGAAACAAAACAGATCCTTATACCCCTTACATCCCATGATGGAGAGAGAGATAATAGAAATGTAAATGAGGACGGATGTCAGATATGACAAGAGAGATGGAGAAAAATAGAGCAGGGGAGGTTTCAGGGTGAGCAGATACCTGCTGGTGAGGAAGGAGGCATGGCTCTCTCTGGGGAACAGGGATCCAAATTGAGGGCATGGGGTCTGGAAGCCTGGGGTGGGATGGTACCAGCTTAGCAAATCAAGGAAGCAGGCATGGCTGGAGCAGAAAAGAGGGAGGAAGGATGGAGGAGATGGACCCACAGAGGTATCCACACAGGGTGAGGACGAAGACCCCACCGGTGATGCCACGGACTTTGGCTTTGACTCTGAGAGTCCCGGGGAGCAAGGCTTTGAGCAGACGAGTCACGTCACTTGACATTTAAAGAATCGTCACAGCTGTGAGGCTGAGAGCAGGCAGAGGGAACAAGTGGGGGGCTGGGGAGACCCTCTGTACGCTCTTGCCACAGCCCCGGATGGAAGCAACAGGAATGGTAGGAATTGGTTGAACTCTGCCCATATTTGAGGCAGATCCAATAGGATTTCCCAGTGCACTGATGTGGATGTGAAGGGAAGAGAGCATGACGTCATTTCTCGACCTAGGAGACTGAGGATGACGTTGACATTTACTGAGATGGAGCAGTCTGGGAAGAGTAGTTATTTCCCTGGGCCAATGCTGCATAAACCGAAGGAAACGGTCAGTGCAACTCAGGAGAACCAGAAACGGGGAGTGGAGGTGAAACTCCCAAAGGAGGTGTAGACCAATGTCACCAACACCCCCGAACCAGACCTAGTGCCTCCCTGGTTGTCAATTCCTCAGCCGGGGTCAGGCTCTTCTCTGTCACGACCTTCTGTCTGACCGAACAGGACAGTACTTACCATGTGGGAAACTGGTCCTCTTTCCATTACGGTTCTGAATACTCAGGGTTCTCTGTTACTCGGGGTAACACAGTTGAAACCTATAACTGTGTTAGACGCTCCATTTGCCTCACTTCTCTTGGGAACGTGTCTCTGACGACTTTCATCCT